TGAGTGTGTGTGTGTGAGAGAGAGAGAGTGAGTGTGTGTGTGTGTGTGTGTGTGTGTGACCTGTGGGCAGATTTTCTGACAACATTTCTTGTAGAAAAACAAAACAAAACTTCATCTTACGTTTTATAAGTGTATTTTATGGTAGTCGTTGTAAATAACTTGTGTTGCAAACGATAGATAGATAGATTCAAATCACCTTTTAAAGTCAAATCTCTCTCAAAGTACTTCACTGGCATGATTGTTTTACATTCAGTGCTGCCATACAGCATCAGCACACACAAACACCAGAAAATAAAATGAACACAACAGAAGCAGCAAGATATATGAGAAGAGATTGACTGTTGATTGCGTTGTAAAAAGCTCTATATAAATAACGGTGAATTGACTTGACTGTCCAGATGGTGAATGACTGAACTAGTGAACATGAACGATGTGTTTCTGTCGGGGATCTGCTGCAGGGGTCGGTATGGACGTGTATGAGGTCAGAGGTCATCTGGACGTGATCGCAGAGGAGCTGACGGCGAGTGAGGAGGAGGAGGAGGAGGCGTTTGTGATGGTGCAGGACTCTGCTGATGTCTCCACACTCGCTGGCGCGCAGCAGATGAAGGTGAGGCACAGATTCACGAGCGCGTGACCCGAGCGTCTGCAGTGTGTGACGCGGCGCTGTGCTTTCCAGGAGCAGCTGTCCAGAAGCAGGAGCAAGCTGAGCCAGAAGATCGTCCAGATGGAGAACTTCGCCAGTAACCTGGAGGAGATCTTCATCACTGTGGAGGTTTGCACACGGTCTCTGCTGCGACAGGCGGTGTTTGGCCGGTGTTTCATCTGCACGTGTGTGTCTGCAGGAGAACTTCGGCCGGCAGGAGCAGAATCTGGAGCAGCACTATAATGAAGTTCTGCAGACGCTGTCGCAGAGGAACGAGGCACGAGCCGCGGCGCTGGACGAGCAGAAGAACAGCAAGCTGGAGTGTTTGTACGGTCAGCTGCTGCGGTGCGGCCGAACACTGGACGCGTCCAAAGAGCTGATCGAGAGCGCACAGGAGCTCCACCGCAGACCAGACAAACACGCCTTCCTGCAGGTCAGAGCCAGCCATTCAGTCTGATTAGAGAATCGTGAAATCAAACACTGTTCAATCTGACTGCTGTGGGGTGTTTGACCCGCCCTCCCTCTCTGATTGACAGGCTGTCATGCCAATAATGAAGAGGTGAGTAGATGCAGTGTGTGGTTTGTCTAACACTCATCATTTACTCACCTTAATGTCGTTCCAAACCCGTGTGAGAATGTTGATGATGCTCTTTTCATACAGCCAGTGGATGTTAAAGGGGTCATGAACTGAAAAACCAAAATTGCCTTGATCTTTTGACATATAAGAGGTCATTGTACTATAAAAACATCCTGTAAGTTGCAGAACTCAAAACTTTCTCGTTAGCCTAAAAACAGCTTATGAAGCCAGCATTCTACATCGCTGCCTGTTTAGCCCCGCCCACCGAGTCTACAGCAGTCTGTTTAGCCCCGCCCACCAATTCTACACAGCACAATTCTGAATGGGATTTTCAGAAAGATTGAAACGAAAAGACGGTGTGCACTGATAATATTGTATCTGACAGTTATGTCACAACACACAAGTTTGAGTATGTTTTTATTATGTGATCACTGTTGCTTTGTCTTTTCTTACAGATCGTTTGATATGTATTCAGTTATTTATGCGTTTTTGACCTAAATCACAGCAGCGTCCATCTATGAGGAATGTAGCTGTCAATCATACACAACTATTAGCCAATCAGAGCAGTGGGCGTTTACTTCCGAGTCTACAATCCTCCACTCCTATTCACACAGAGCGTTCTGATGAGGGGGGTTAAAACAGCACAGAAAATAGCCTATTACTTCTCAATTATGATGTTTTTTTTTATGTAAAATCTTGATAACATTATAAATGGACCTCAGAGAACAGTACAAAATAAAAACAGAGGCAGTTCATGACCCCTTTAAGATTCACTACGACTCATTCACGTTTCTGCATATTCACATCTGCTGCATCACGACTGTTCACAAAACACCTGTGAACCGAGAACATTTGCACAGTTTGTAAATGCGATCAGCAGGTGCTTTCAAAGTGCTCGTCCTCCGTTTGGATTTACAGTGGATGTGCCTAATAATCACAGTAAACAGTAGATCAGTGATATAATAATTAATTATACTGACATTCTGTTATTTAATTGCACGTCCATCAGTCCTGAACACTAACTCTGCTAACCCTAGAAGACTCGCGGGACCCTAACCCTAACTCGAGGTCTAGGGGAATCTGGGATGTTCTGTAATGTTCTGTCCAATCAGAGTGGAGCAGTTCTCCAGAGAGGAAGTGGATCTGAAGCTGGGAGTGTCTCTGGACTTCGAGGTGCTGACCACAGATCTGTCCGATGTCAGACAGATGATGGAGTCCATTAACGTGCTTCCAGGTCAGACGCCGACCGCTGCTCGTTTATATTTACATTCGCTGGGTTCCATTTATGCAGTTTTATGCCATAGAAATGCTGTATGGAAACAAGATGCAAATAAAACTTCCAAAATATGCCTAAAAACAGATTCACCTGAAGTGGATAATCTTTTATTTGGCGACATGTAAATAAACTACAGTGGAAACATTTACATGTGCTAAACAAACTCCTACTGGCACAATAAGAGAAAGTCATGTGACTGAATAATTGACAAAGAGACAAATATTATTTTTGCAAAATTCAGATTTTGGGAATGTAAAGAGTGTAAATGATGCTCTCGACAGTGTTAAACACTCACTTACATGAAAGGGCTGGTATTTGTCTGATTATTTTTCTGTTGAAGCTGAGACACAGTTATGGCTTCATTAATTTAGCTGTTTAAAGGGTTCGTATGATTGAGATTCCTCTAGCGCTAGAGTTATAACGCATTATAACACACATCAGAGCTTCAGCTCTTCAGTTCACATGCGACACACTCTTTCTGCCCTGAGCTCCACTGCACTTCATGCAAATGTGTTTAGCTTCAGAGGATTAACATGCAGCAAAGGAAAAACTGACTGTGTAGTGCACAAAACAGTCTCACAAATAAAATGATACAAAACTGTAGAAAATGAGCCCTTGAATGCTTTCAGTCAGCAGGTTGAACAGAGGTGTGTGTGTGTGTGTCTCTGTCTGTGTGTGTGTGTGTGTGTGTGTGTATAGCTCCGTCGGCTCCGGTCATGAATCCGCAGATCGCTAACTCTGCCACCGACACGTCGCTGCACGTGTGCTGGAGTCTGTTCTCGGACGACACCGTGGAGTTTTACGAGCTTTACTGGCGTCTGATCTCTGACGACTGCACTATGGAGACGCCGCAGGAGGGTAAACGCGTCATTTACTACCCAAACCAGTTAAACGCAAACCCCACTGGTCAACTCAACATGCCTTCACCTGTCAAAACAGACTTAAATCCAATCGCAGCAAACAGTAATGCTCAATCTGTCAGGATGTGCTAGCTGCTCTATACTGAGGTATTGAGGTCAGAGGTTAGGGTTAGGGATTAGACCAGGGCTTCTCAACTCTGGTCCTTGAGGTCCACTTTCCTACAGAGTTGAGCTCCAACCCTGATCAAACACACCTGAGCCAGCTATAGAGTTACAGACAGGTGAGTTTGATGATGGATGGAGCAGAACTCTACAGGTAAGTGAACCTCGAGGCCAGAGATGAGAACCAGGGCCGTAAAACACCACAGACACTGAGGGGACCGAGTCCTAATAATCAGGACAGATTCTCCCCCATAATATCTCAAATTTTGCTCTGCTCTGCTGTTTATCTTTAGGATGACAAAAGGTTTTAAAAGTGACATTTTTAGTCTGGTCTGCTTCAGTGCTCGTTATTGTCAAAATGATTGAGATGACCAATCAAATCAAAGTAGACAGAGTTTACGGTTCACAGAAGCAGAGCGTGAGTTACAGTGCAAAGCGTCAGTTTTTAGCAAAACATTTAATATTTGAAAACTGTTTTAGGATAGATGGTTAAACGACCAACTAAGAATACTACTCCACCTTTTTCCTCAGATTTCACCCATTTGAATTGAAAACGTGATTCATGTAATTCCTCAGTGAATGTGACGAGACAAGAAACATTTTGCGTTTTCAACGTATTAGGCATAGAAATAAGAGTGAATGTGTGCATATTTTAAAATATTATTTACAAATAGTTGAAAATGATCACTTCACAACTAGAATTAGACCTAGAATTTCCTTCAACGTTGTATTTCTTGATACTTTAAAAAACAACAACTGGTTTCCCCCAATATTCAAGACATAGCCTTGTACAGAAGCCCTGGTTTGGGGTTTAGTATTTGTTTCAGCATTGTGCTTAAAAAGACCAATGCAGTCTTTAGAATGGGCCGCAGGGTTTGTTTTTAACTCCGAGTGTCCAGTCCTGCGGTCTTTACCTTCAAACTCACCTGAACCGACTCACTGAGGTCTGGAGGATTAAAGGGGTCATGAACTGCCTCTGGTTTTATTTTGTACTGTTCTCTGAGCTCCACTTATAATGTTATCAAGTTTTTACATCAAAAAACATAATTGAGAAGTAATAGGCTATTTTCTGTGCTGTTTTAACCCCCCTCATCAGAACGCTCTGTGTGAATAGGAGTGGAGGATTGTAGACTCGGAAGTAAACGCCCACTGCTGTGATTGGCTAAGAGTTGTGTATGATTGACAGCTACATTCCTCATAGATGCTCGCTGCTGTGATTTAGGTCAAAAACGCATAAATACTCAGTATTTTAAATGATCTGTTTAACAGACAAAGCAATAGTGATCACGTAATATAAACAGTTACACTTGTGTGCTACAACATTACTGTCAGATCCAATATAGTCTTTTAGTTTCAATCTTTCTGAAAATCCTGAGTTGAATTGTGTCTTGTTTGTAAACAAATCCACAGTAAAATGAAGTGAACTGAGTTCTTACTGACACGGTCTGGATCTTTATTAAAAATAAAGTTCATCCACTATTTCCTACCGTTGGGATCAGATGCAAACACTGTTTTTCCACAGCTTGGCACTGCACAGCGTCTTGTTGTCTTCGGAACATCTTTATCATTTGGTTTCTGCGCAGACCTGTATTCGCCTCTCTCGTAAACACTACATGCGTTAATCGGTGGGTGGGGCTAAAAAGGCAGCACTGTAGAATCGGTGGGCGGGGCTAAACAGGCAGTGATGTAGAATCAGTGGGCAGGGGTTAAAAGGGCAGTGATGTAGAATCGGTGGGAGGAGCTAAACAGGCAGCACTGTAGAATCGGTGGGTGGGGCTAAAAAGACAGTGATGTAGAATCGGTGGGCGGGGCTAAACGCTTATCCACACTATTACATCATAGATAGGAACATTCCACAAGCTGTGGTTTTGGCAGATCGGCTTCAATATAAGCTGTTTTTAGACTAACAACAAAGTTTTGGGTTCTGAAACTTACAGGATGTTTTTATAGAACAATGACCTTTTATGTCAAAAGATCAAGAGAATTTTGGTTTCTCAGTTCATGACCCCTTTAATAGAAACATCCAGGAGTGTGTGTGGAGCTGAACTCTGCAGGACTGGAGCTGCTCACTCACACACACGTGTCCAGTCAGCTCTGTGTGTGTTTGCAGTGTCTCAGCTGAAGGTGAAGGAGACGCACTGCACCGTGTCTGATCTGCTTCCTAACGCTCAGTATGAGCTCTGGGTCACAGCCACCAACACCACAGGCATCAGCCCTGCCAGCGAGAGGGCCGTTTACATGACGGGTACGTGCCGCTCATCTGCAGAGCCGCTGTAGTGGACGAGTGTGTAACGCTGTGTGTGTGTGTGCAGTTCCCTCTCCTCCGGTTCTCAAGCCGCGGCAGTGCGTGAGCAGCCTGGACGCGGCACTGATCCGCTGGGACTCTGGAAACACCAACCCGGTGGAGTCGTACACGCTGGAGTTTCACCGGACCCACGCAGACGGCGGCTGCTCCGCCACAGAGTCAGTGAGCTTCATTACAAACTTCAGAATGAGTCCAGAGATGAGTGTTCTGGCATCATGTACTCACCCTCACATCGTCCAAACCGTACCACTTTCTGCCCAACAGAGAAGATGTTTCGAAGAATGTTTCAGCTCATATTATGAGTCAGTGGGACCCAAAGCTGCAAAAAGAAGAAAGATAGTGTGACTCCATATTCCAAGTCTCCTGAAACGACACAATCACAATTTATATCATGATAATTTAGTCTGTATTCAATGTAATATCAAGTCAAAACACTGATCAACGCACATACAAGGGCTGGCCGTAAAGTATCCAGCCATCTAATATGAAAAATAGAGACATTTATCAAAGAAGATACAAGAAACTTGTTTCAGTTTCAGTTTCCTTCAAAGGTGAATTAAGTTTGGGAAAAGCCAGGATGTTTTCCTCGTAGTGCATCTCTCATCTCATATTTTTCATATTACATGGCTGGATACTTTCCAGACAAGTCAAGTCACTTTTATTTATATAGAGCTTTTAACAATACAGATGGTGTCAAAGCAGCTTTATAGCATCAAAATAGGAAAATAGTGCGTCAATAATGCAGAAGGACAATAGTAAACACTCAATGTTCAGTTAAAGGCAGTTCATCGTTGAGTTCAGTGATGTCATCATCGTCAAGCTCAGTTCAGATTAAATAGTATCTGTGCAATCAAGTCCACGATATCGCTGGAAATTAAGTGTCCCCAACTAAGCAAGCCAGAGGAACCAGAACTCCATCGGTGTCAGAATGGAGAAAAAACCTTGGGAGAAACCAGGCTCAGTTCTCCTCTGTAGCAGAGTTGTGTAAGAAAAAATTTAAATGAGAGTACAAACCAGCAGAGACAGGGTCAGTCTGTCCAAACCCAGTCCTGATTATATTACAGAAAACAGAGCAGAATAACAGCGGGGCTAGTGGGTAACTAACTAGCTAAACCAACTAATCTCCAAATAATGTCACTAACCTGCGAACGCTGGTGCTCCGAAGCGCTCAGTGCAGATTTGGAGATCCATCTGATCACCTGTTTGAGATGAAGGCAGTGAAGCGTCCGCTCTCTTCCGGCAGGTCCGTCGTGGCGATCCCGTCCTGCGAGTGTCTGGTGCAGCTGCAGCCCTGGAAGCACTACATCATCCACATCAGAGCCGTGAACATCGGCGGCCCGAGCGACCGCAGCGAGCCCATCACCGTCTCCACCACAGGTTCCCACAACACCTGACATTCAGTTCAAGCTTCAATCCACGTTTATTTGTATAGCCCTTTTCATGATAGAAATTATTGCAAAGCAGCTTTACAGAAAATTCAAGTTTCTACATTATATTTAGGAGTAGCTTATCAGTGGTGACTATGTCAAGTTGATGTCCATATCATGCAGTTAGTTAATGTCATGTAATCAAACAGACAGTCAACACTTAACAGCAATGCTTATATTTTGCAATCAAACTTATAGCAAAGTTTGGTAGTTCTGGATGTTGATTCAGTTTTGGCATCATCTGAGGTCCTCTGAGGGGTAGGCATAATCTCTTCTCAGATCTTCGTAAGGGCTGGATCCAGACTGAAGCTTGTGTAATTCCTAGTTACCTTGTGTCTGAACCCCCAATGTTATCCAGAAGGTTATTCCAGAGTTTGGGAGCCAAATGTGAAAAAGCTCTACCTCCTTTAGTGGACTTTGCTATCCTAGGTACTACCAAAAGTCCAGAGTTTTGCGACCTTAGGGAGCGTGATGGATTGTAGCGTGGTAGAAGACTAGTTAGGTACGCAGGAGCTAACCCATTAAGGGCCTTATAGGCAAGTAATAATATTTTGTAAATGATACGGAACTTAATAGGTAGCCAGCGCAGAGACTGTAAAATTGGGGTAATATAAAGCTTGATTATTGAGGATGCAGGACAATCACCTAGCAGTGCATTACAATAGTCCAGTCTAGAGGACATGAATGCATGAACTAGCTTTTCTGCATCAGAAACAGGTAACATATTTCGTAACTTGGCAATGTTTCTATGAGCTATTTAATGAGTGAGCTATTTAAAGATCAGCCACTCTATAGGCCAGTGTATTAGATAAGTAGTGAAGAAAACG